TTTTTTTTTTTTTTTGAAAACAGTGCTTTAAATGATGATTTTTTGGAAAATATGTGGTTAAAAAGTAAAGAAAATTTATAAGTTTACGTGTACAATATTTTATGACGGGAATGTATTGTTAAAATTAGTATGTAGAAAAAAAGTTTTGAAAGAATAAAAGACACACAAGGACTAAACTATTTTGGTATTGTCTTTATTAGACATTTACCATGAAGAGCAAGAGTTATTTTATTAAAAATAAATGGATAATTTTTTTCGGCGGAATTTGAAAAAATATTAAAAAATTAATATCTTTGTTTACTATTTAAATACTAAATCAATTATTTATTAAAAGAAATATAATCAATACCGTAAGAGTTAATAATTATGATAAGTGACAATAACAACGATGACGACAATAATCACCAACAATTAGAATCATCATTGTCATTATCAAAATACACCCTAAATACGGAGAAATTTCCCTCTTCGAGCCGCAAGGTGAAACGATTGACTTTAGTACTAATTTGATTTGCATTTTCTTTCTTATATTCATATTTTGCAGCTAGTCATTCGATTTTCGTTTATTGAATGGAAATGAAGAATCAAATTGAAATTGAAAATGTATTAAAAACATAAAATTGTACATTGTTTGCACTACCATTGTGCTATAAATACAAGGAATGAAAGACTGATTAACTAACTCTTAGCTATACATAAGTAACTAACATAACTACAAGCTAACTTCGGCTGCATTAACTAACTCAACGGTAACTCCAGCTCAACAACTGTGATAAGGATGAACTGTAATGAATTCATGTTAATTCTATTACTCTCTCTCAAGATGGACTATGCAAGTTAATGACAGTCATCTTGGACATTAATGGAAACAAAAGTGATGCAGGTAAAGCCTTGGTAAAAAATATATGTCAACTGATAATGAGTGTGAATCCTCATCAACTTAATGGAACCATCACTGATCTTGTCTAGAACAAAATGGCAATCTATCTCTATGTGTATGTTCATGGAAGACGGGATCGGAGGCAATGTAGATTGCCGCTTGATTATCACAAACGATCAAAGTATGATCATTTCTTGAAACCTGAAGATCTTGAAGTAACTAAGTAAGCCAAACAATCTCACTTGTTGTAGAGGTGTATTCTGCTTCAGCTGATGATCTGGACACGATACTTTGTTTCTTATATTTCCATAATACTAGTGAATCTCCAAGGAAGATACAAAAACCTACGACTGACCAATCTGCATCAACAAAAACTCGAAGTTGGAAGGAAGAATCTGTTGAAAATAAGAGATCTTGACCTGGAGTAGAATTAACATACTATAAGAGGTGATGAACTACCTTGAGATGAGGCTACCTGGGTTGAGAAACAAATTAACTCAGTTTGTGAACTGCAAATGTGTTGTCTGGTCTAGAAATAATTAAGCAAGCGGCCAACTAGTCTACTATACATGGATGCATCAATAAAAAGCTCTCCTTCAAAATATCCTAGGTGAATCTTGGGATCCACAGGTAAGAGAGCAGGTTTGCAAGCAAGAAACTCAGTGTCCTCAAGTAGTTGAAGTGCATAGTGATGTTGAGATAAGAAAATTCCTTTGTGTGATCTGGCAATTTCTAAACTAAGTACTTTAAATGACCAAGGTATTTAAGCTTGAATTGGTTGTGAATGAAGACCTTTAAGGTAGTTCTCGTGATAATGATGTCATCCACATAGACTAAGAGAGCCACAAACGAGCCGCCGATCATTTGGTGAATAAAGAGTAATCGAACTTCGATTGTTGAAAGCCATTAGCAATGAGGGCACTAGAGAACTTTGACAACCATTATCTTGAAGCATGTTTAAGGCCATAGATTGATTTATGGAGTTTACATACTAGATGTTCCCTTCTGTATACCAGAGTTAAGATGATTTTTGTATCCTAAAGGTAAGTACATATATATTTCTTCAAAGAGATCTCCTTTAAGGAATATATTATTGACATCTAGCTGAGTAATGTACCACTTATTAATTGTTGCAATGGCCAGCAGTATCTTGGCTGTAACTAAGTTCGTCACAGGTGATTTGTATATGTCTATGTTGCCATCTGATTTGTATTTAATCTTATAAATCCACTTATAGCCTATGAAATGTTTGCCTTTAAGTAGCTTAGTAAATGACCTAGTGTTATTCAATTCCATGGCATTTAATTCAGTGGTCATGGCCTCCCTCAAATGGTCAAACTTCATAGCCTGATGGTAAAATTGTGGTTCGAAATTAGAGGATACAATTAGAAGATAATCACAGTGTGAAGGAGAATAAGCTTTATATAAAAGGTACTTATTTAGAGGATAATGAGAATAATCAGGAGGTTGCTGTGTGTTTGTTAGAAGATTACATTAGTAATCTCTAAGGTATGAAGGTGCATTGTTGATTCTAGCAGATCTTCTAGGAGCAGGAGGTAATGGGAAAGATTGGAAGACCTTGAAAGTGAACCAGAAGGCAAAGTATTTAAACTATTTTCAGCCTCATTAGACACAGCATGAGAAGTTCTAGAAGATGAAGTGTAATAGGAAATGTCTGGTCAAGGTTTAGGTAATACAATGTCAGGAAGTAGATCAGGATTATTAGATGCATAAGAAATATTTTGAAATGGAAAAATATGTTCATGAAAAACAACATTCCTTGAAATTAAGAAAGATTTGGAGATGATGTCATAGAGTTTGTATCCCTTGATGCTTGGTGGATAACTAACAAATATGC